CACAGTGAAAATGACATGAATATGACAGTGGGCAAATGCATAAAGCGCAGCATAATTTGAAATCATGAGTTAAAGTTTGTCGAACGCGGGTCTCCAGTGAAGCTGAACTCTCCTCCTGTCCGCATTCAATTCACACGGACCGACCGTCACACAGAGAACACGCGATCATGCAGGATACACATGCACACTTCACAAGACCTCAACTAGATTCGACTAAGTCTGCAAGGTTTGTGAAATTAAATGTTCATTAGTCATTCAAAGATTTGTTTAAATGATATAAATGCGTGTTTGCTGAATGCAGACGGCAAACGAGAAAGTATTATAATGTTTGCCTTTCTATTACTAATAATAATAAAGCAATCGTTATAATACTTTTTTGTATACATTTTACTTCCTTTGTTTAACAGTTCTATCTGATTATTAGATAGACCTATCCATATTAGACAGAACTGAACAACGACAGTGAACAAGAGGGAGAATGTGAGCACTGTGTGTTCAGGCGCTGCCGCTCTCAGCGGCGTCAAAATAAAAGTCCCGCCTTGAACACATCAGCCAAATAGAAAAACTGACAAAAAAAAGAAAAACTTATCGGCCGATGCCGATATTTGAAAAATGCCAAATATCAGCCGATATATCGGCCTTGGCGATATATCGGTCGACCACTAGTCATTTGTTTGTGGAAGCTTCTAGTTCCCTGTTTCTCTCTGTTGAAGGTTTCCCAAGTAGTAGCGATGCCGCTTCATCACTTCCCAGTGGGCAGCAGCTTGACCAGCCTGCGTCTGTGTTCTGATGGGACCTTCCTCTACTGGGTTTGGTCACCTGTCAGCATCAACGAGAAAACCCAGAAAGGCCACTCTGTCTTCATGGATGTCTTCCAGCTAACGGTGTGAGACTTTGCTAATATCAGACTTTGAAACTAATATTTCATTGTTCTTTGTGCAGTTTTGTAGTTGCATTTACGTTACAGTTTTTCGTTGCATGCAATGACTGGTAACCCTTGTGAAAATGAAGTGCACTTTAGCATACGTGTGGAAAACATTTTACTTAAGTGTGAATTGAATGTAATGTTTTCTGACACTAAAGTGCATATTATTTGCAATTAATTTAAAATATATTATAGTTTGAATGTATATTTAATGCGATTAGCTGAATTTTAGCGTGCTTTTTGACCCACTTAAGCAGGACTGAAGTACATCTTTACATGTAATTTCATAATTACTTCTATCGTCTTTGAAATATGGTTAAAGTACTGCTGAATATGCTGACAAGCATGTATGCTAAACCAAAATTTAATTTCTATTGAAACTTGTATGCCATGTATTTGAATAAATTTGTAATTACACATTTTTAATAATGAAGCTGCAATTTAGTACATATATTAATTCTAAATGCAATATCGAATAACAAACTGGAGTTAAAATTATAATCAAGTACTTTACATGTGCTTTAGCATGTTAGTCAACACATCAAAATAAGTACTTTAAAAGCACGACAAAAGATTATTAAAACAATGATTTAAAAAGTACTTTAAAGCAAAACTTTTGATTTGACATTATTACAAAGGTCACTTTTTAAAAGTGTAGTTAAGTGTGTTCGGAAACAGTCATGAAAGTGTCTCTCTTTAAGTCACTTAACTGGGCGTTTATTTTATTAACATTATATTATCTGCAAGTCCAGTTTTTAAAAGTATCTTTTTAAAATTTGAAGCACACTACAAGTGCGCATTCAGTATAATTAAGTGCACTTCTTTTCACAAGGAAATTGTCATAAATGTAGCAAGTAAATTAGTGTTCAATGAACCCTCACTTCATGAGCTCCCAATATCTGTTTTGTTTTTTGCAGACTGAGTTGGGTCTATGTGTGGCCAGTCCTATTCAGGATCGGGTAATCCTCTCGCGAAAGGAAGGCGAGTCATCGAAGTGTTTGAATGAGCTGCTCCTGAGCCGTATGTCCCGCTTTCGTGCCTCGCACTCGTCCACGCTGGCTGCTCTCACCGGCTCTGCCATCACCAACCCCGTCAAAGAGGAGCAGTCGGGTAATGCTGCTGTATGTTGTTTGTGCCTCGGCTGCTCCCAAGCACTAGCTTCTCTGGCTTAGTTTCTACAATAATGGGAGCCATTGTGAAAAAGAAGTGCGCTTAATTTTACTGAAAGTGCACATGTAGTGTACTTCAAATATTAAAAGGATATTTTTTCAAAAACTGTACTAACAGGTAATATAATGTTAGTGAAATAAAAGGCCACTTAAGTGACTTAAAGAGACACTTTCATGACTGTTTCTGAACACACTTAAGTACACTTTTAAAAAAGTTTTAAAACATTTTACATTTTAAATCATTAGGCTTTAATAATCCTTTATCATTTTTTGTGTGTTGACTAACATACTAAAGCACATGTAAAGTACTTGATTATAATTTGAGCTGTAGTGTGTTACTCGATATTACATTTGAAGATAATTTATTTTAAGTCTACTTAATTGCAACTTCATCATTACAAATGTGTGATTACAAATATATTTAAATACACAACATACTAGTTTCAGAAGAAATCTGTATATATACTGTGTGCAAATTCTTTAAGATGTTTGGAATATCTTAAAAACTGTGCTCAAGTGTAGTTAAGAGAATTGGTGCGGTTTTAAAGGAAAAGAGTGATCATTTTATTGATTTGATGTCGTTTACAGTGAACAGAAGTGGATGGCAGTGTTATTTTAGTGCCTGTTGAAGACCTGACATGTCAAAATGTTGCGCTGTTTTAATTAATTATTTTTTGGAGCTTAAGTTCAGTATGTGGAAATTGTAATCTTTTTTTTTTTTGGTTAATGTTTTTTTATTCTGCACCAATTTTGGGTTTTGGATGTGTACACCAACTGGGTATTTAAAAAAAATATTATTTTAGTATCATTGAGATACTATTAGGCTATAGTTTTTTTATCAGTAGTTTTTAGTTTTAGTTATTTCAGTATATCAGGTCAAGCTAAATGAAAATGAGAAATGTTTCCTTGGCAGCTATCTGGAATAAAGTAAGTAAGTTTTTTTTAAATATGGTATTTTAATATTTTATTTTATTTCAGTTAATTAAATATATTTTTATTTTTTTATATTGTATTTTATTTCAGTCAGTTAAAAAAAAAAATTTTTTTTTTAATATTTTATTTTATTTTCAGTTTCTTTTTATTTCAAGTAAAAAATTTTTATGGTTTTAGTTAATTCTAAACCCTAACTATAACGAATGGGAAAAATAGACAAAACAACCACAACTCCAAATTCACATCTGTGCTGTGCTGTAATTCTTCACCGTAGTTTTAATTGCAATGTTGATCGTGGTCTCTTGTTTTTTTCTCTCATCCCAGTTGTCAACACAAGCTGTGGTCTGTCTATAAAAGCACTGAGGAAGACGCCGATGTACGTATGTGGGACGTATCTGGTGATGCTGACGCCCACTCCAGGTGTAGCTGGGAGCTCGGCCACCCGCTCACTGTTCGGTGGCTCCAGTGGCCTTTCTTCCCTCAAGAGTAAGATATTTATACTCTATTAAACCTGTTACTTTAGCATCGTTTCATACTGAACTCTGTCATGGATAGTGTCGGAATGGTAATTGATCATTTAACGTTATCCATTCTTAACACCACAGTTACTTAATCAAATATTTAACAATTAAAGGGTTCCCTAGTGAAAAATAAATATACTAAAATGTATTTGAAATACATTTGTTTCATGCTAAGTGTACTGCAAATACATTTACATATTTAAGCACTTAATAAAAATATGCTGCAATTGTACGTTTGGGATACTAAACCGGTATACTTAAGGCCTACTAAACTGGAACAACTCATTTTGTACTTAACGTACTTTAATTGTGTTAGTTGTGAAAGTAGTGCTGATGTTAGTGTTAATTTCGTTAACGAAAACTATGACGAAAAATGTTCGTTGACGAGTTTTTTTCCCATGACTAAGACGAGACGAAGACGAGACGACAATAAGGTCAATAAACAATAACTGACTATATCGACATGCAATTTCTTTGACGAAATAAGACGTAAAATGTATTAAAAAAAATTAAAACTTTTTATTTTTGTCAAAAAAAGGAGACAAAATGTTACTGTGGACTGCTCTACACTCCTCTACTACGCGAGCTTTCATGAGTGTGCGGTTGCCAGATATCAAGAGTTCAAATGCACTTGGGTTGACTAAATATGATAAAAACTAACAAGGACATTTAATACGGGACTAAGACTAAAATTGAAAATAGCTGACAAAATTAACACTAGCTAATGTCCAACTAAAGATATACTGAAGTATATTTGATTGTGCTAAAGTGGAACTATTGCAAGTATACTTCGAGTGCACTTTAAGAATTTTCCATTTAAAAACCAATATTATTCAAAGATCATACAATCCTCATCAATAGTGACATTAAAACACATTTTAGGCTTAATATTAAGAAATGTGCATTGTGCACAAGTTGCACTCCAATAGGGCTGTCGCGATTCGTGGATTTTATTCGACTATTCGATTTTTTTAAAATTCTATACTTTTTTTTTGCTCACGTCGACTAACCGGCAAAATACCAGAAGTGGTGCATTTCACAGACGAGAATGTATAAAACATTATTAGTCTGTTTTCCAAGGCTGCATGATATATTAAACCCATTTAAAAATCATAATTAAGCATAATTGTGAATTCACAAACGCTAAGATTTAATTAAATATTTATATGGGATGCAGTTCTAATACAGTATATGCACTTTAATTATTTACATGCGTGTAGGTTAAGTACATGCGTCACACAGCGGCTCCGTTCACAGTAGTTTCACAGGAACTGTTATCATTTACATGTGTGGAGCGTCTCAAACGTCATCTCTGCATGTTGTTGTGAGTTTGGGTTTATTATAACGTTCATCTGGGAACGCAACATGCGCCATTTCATCAGATTTGTAAGGTAAATCATTTATAAATGAATCATTTAAAAATGACATCGCGGTTTCAAAATAAAAGCTCAAACCCTCACTCTGAGTTTGGATGTCCACATATTAATTTAATTACAGTGGCTATAGCATTTCTGTCCTAAAGAAATGGCCAAATATTAAAGATTAAGTGGACATTTGAATTAAATGGTGCTTGGTCAATATTAAACAAGCATTAGATCGCACAGCAATGTGTAAAAATAATCATCAGGCCGTTGGCGCCC